TTGCCTGATTTTATTTATTTATTTATTTATTTATTTATTCATTCATTCATTCATTCATTCATTCATTCATTCATTCATTCATTCATTCATTCATTCATTCAATTTATATGCCGCCCACACTACCCAGAGGTCTGAGATTAACTCCTTAACTGGAAGAAATGCCAGCTACGACCAACATAGGCTTCTGGGGTTTTTTATCCAGGAGGTCTATATATCTCTGTAGGGACTCTAGGAGGAGTCAGGCATCCTCTTACAGATCCGACACCTGAACTGGTTTCTAGTTGCATGCCGGGCCCAATTCAAGGTGTTTGGCTTCCAACCCTGCACAGATTGAAGCCTGCCTGTCTGGGGGAACCATCCCTCTTATTTCAAGCAGGGATAAGGACTTGAGTTGTGGGACTTGCTGTCAAGTCGGACTTAAGTCACACCAATGACTCGGGCTCTGATTCTACGTATTTGGGCTTCTCTCCCAGTGACTTGGACACAACTCTTGACTTGAAATCTAGCCACCATCCCTTTTTTGGAAGGGGGCAAAGCTTGTTTTTAATAAGGACTTGGACCCAATTACTTGCCAACATCTCTGCTTTCAAGCCTGTCAGAATGTAAAGATCTTCAGAAGAGTTCCTTCTAAAAATACCACTCATTCCAGAACCATCATGCAAGAAAGGGCCTCCTAGGTTATGGAAGACAAGGGAGTTGATATCTGACTGCTTTTAAGAAGGGAGTAAACACACATCTTTTATGACATTTCATCAGCTTTCCTGTTTGTTTTTTAAATCTATGTATCCTCATTGTTGTTGTGTAGTCGTTTAGTCGTGTCCGACTCTTCGTGACCCCATGGACCAGAGCACACCAGGCCCTCCTGTCTTCCACTGCCTCCCTCCGCATTAGAGATGTGCATTTACCACGGTTCCAGGGTTTGGCGGATCAGGCCCACAGGGGTTGCACAGGTACCTCCTCCTGTGGGTGCCCTGTCAGAATCAGAATGGCAGGGGGCTTTCCTGCGCAGTGGGCACTTGGGAAGAGGCGGGCCACAGAATCCCAGGTGCCCACAGAACACCTGTGGGCCCAATCCACCCAACCACACCAAAGCACTGAACCATGGCACGTGTCCATCTCCGATCCTCATCCTTTGCTCTTCTAATGTTGGTTCATTTAATTTGAATAATTGGATGGTCCGGCAGGGTTACATATATCCTTTTTTTAAAAAAAGCTATGGAGGCAGTGACAGATTTTACTTTCTTGGGCTCCATAATCACTGCAGATGGAGACAGCAGCCATGAAATTAAAAGACGCCTGCTTCTTGGGAGGAAAGCGGTGACAAACCTTGACAGCATCTTAAAAAGCAGAGATATCACCTTGCCAACAAAAGTTGGTTGGACAGTGTCACCGAAGCAACCAACATGAATCTGACCCAACTCCGGGAGGCAGTGGAAGATACTGTAGGAGGGCCTGGTGTGCTCTGGTCCATGGGGTCACAAAGAGTCGGACACAACTAAACGACTGAACGAAAGAATGAAATGTGGGATCAGCTCTTTATTCTTTTGTAAAGTGTTAAAGCTGCCTTGAGCGCTGCCTTTTGGTGCAAGGGTGGGGGTACACCTTTTTTTAAAATGAATCCACAAATATAAATGTCACATCACATACAGGTCTCGCGACAACTTAAAAGCTCATGTTTTGATTAATCCCAAGTTACGAATGATATAAATGTCAGCCTTTACAGTAAAACTGAACCGTTTATAATAAAGAACATTCGTATTTATGTTTAATCAAAACATTTCATTTTCATAAATCCCGGTTACTACATTTCAAGGTCAACTTGAGAGATATAAAACCTTTGAGGACTGAAATTTTTGTAAAAAAAAAATCTGAACTACAGAAAAGATGGGTGACACACAGTGAAAGAGAAAAGCAGCCCATGCATTTCTCAAATAATCCATAGAAAGAGAGTGGGTTTAAACATGCACCCCTTCCCAGCAGGAATCCTTACCCCTCAAGAAGGCCCCTCCATCACCATCAGTTTCCTCCCCTCTTGGGAAAAATACTGTCTTTGCTGTCTGATGAGGTCTTCTCCATTGCAAGGAAATTAAACTGAGCATCCACTGAGAGGTTTTTGATCTGATTTAGCCATATAGGGTGAATTTTGTTTGTAGGGTGTATCCATCTGATGGCATTCATCTTTTGGACTAGGATTCATGGATGCATGCCCAGCTTAAGCCTTAAGTCCCAAAATCAATGACAGTAAGCTTCCTCGTTGAGGTTTGGGGTATGAAACATAGTTCATTTGACTGCTTCACAATCATCTTGGTTGGTTCCATGGAGTCAATTATCTCTTGAGGTAATCTGGTCAGGCAGGGTGCTAATATCAATGTCTAGTGTTCTCAGGGCCACTTAGCTGCCATGGTTACCTGCTAGAACCAAAAAAGGCAGTGGGATCATAGTTTGGGCACATTTTCTATAATTTTATGGGTGCAGGACCGTAAACCAGGTTTTCTGGCCTGTACCTCACCTTGTAACATGGCCTTCTGCACCTTCTGCTCCATGTTCAGCATGTCCTCCATCAAGGTATGGTTGTTGCTCAATCATCTTCATAAAGATGTCTTGTCTTTCTGTCACACCTTGCCACCATTGTTCCATGGGTTGTGGGGGGGAGCACAACTGACTTCAGTATGCGA